AGCTAGGCACCCCTCGACACTTACTTAGCTAGCTAGCTAACTGATTTTAACCAGCTGAGCAAGCTAACTAGCTTGCTAACCGAGTCAAATTTAGCTTTGAGGAAAAAAAATGCAATAGCTACATTACTGAAATAAGCCTGGCTAGCGAATTTACTGCATTTCAATCAAACGCCATTAGACAGCAGTCTCTGCACAATGCAACAACTCAACCAGAGCTGACCCTTCCAGTTCCAGTGGCCATCATAAACCTTTCCACTACCACCAGGCAGATGGGTAAGTAAAGAGCATGAGGACAGTATTGTGGCTATGATATGACAGCAGTAGAAATGCATCATTTCAGTGTGTCCCTGGGGTCTCCATTTCATCATGTTTCAAAGACATGCTGGAATGATGTTGTTACCAAGGCAAATTAAAATGGATTAATAGATAAATAAAGCCTTTGAAAATACTGAACATTTTCAGCCATGAAACTATTCCTGTTCTGTGAAGACAGTATGCCAAACAATACTATAATTTGCCACTTTGTCTGAGTGTTTGCTTGTATGTGTGTGTGTGCACTGCAGGTGCTTATAACTGTAGGCCTAAGTGCATTTAATTATATATAGGTCTATATGTGGCATGTAGTCCTATTCAGTGAGTCATTTCTGTCTTATCTAGTGTGATGAGCCGTGGTGTAATACGGCATTGCTGCTGCAAATCTTTATGGTCTTTGATGTTAGAGAGGTTATGTTTGTCCCGTTCTGCAATAAAGAACAAAGGTGTCATTATTATATTGAAACGACACACAGATAGCATGTTTCTCCGTGTGTGTGTGATTCTTTTTTTGTGGTGGGGAAGTGTGAACAGTGTTTGTGGCATTTCGAGGAAATTACCCCCACACTCCTTGGCCAGAGCAGATAGTTCCCTAAGCTGCATGGCATATTGATTTCTTGTTGTGAGGAGTGCTGTTCAAGCCCCATTTAAGATTTCCATCCCGCATGTAGCCCTCAGCACACCACAGCCCTGTAAATTAAGGAAATTGCACATTCATCACACGCGTTGTTTTAAGATACTTTGGTAACGTGACGGCCGGAAGATCTACGGTGGTGCATTACAAGCCACCAACCACTCTTCCTCCTTTCGTCTGTCTTCCTCTCTCCCTCTCTCCCTCCCTCTCTCTGCAGGCTGGGGTAACGGTCAGGTCAGCGGGACACGCCCGTGATTTAGACGCATGCCAGTATTTTTCACATTAGTATTTGTTTGTGATTGAGAATTTACAGGTCCTCCTTAAATTAGCATGTCTAATGGGTCTGCTTCCAAGGTGAAGGTGTTGTTGGAGAAGAGAATTATTAGGCATGTAAATAACACAGGTTAAAAAAGTCCCTTCAGCTCAAAGGCCTCTCCAGACATTGTACAACATGGAGTCAACAGTGGAGTGAATAAATCCAGGCCTATTGTGTGTGTGTGTGTGTGTGTGTGTGTGTGTGTGCATGCGATTCCACGAGCCCGCTGGACAACATATTTCACTGCATGTGTATGTGTACTTTGTGTGCAACCTGAATGCCTGTGTTTGCATTTGCTTATAATTTTAAATCACTATAGCAGTAGGGTGTGACTCATCCCAAACATAATGATTTTCCCTCATCAATGTCTAAGGAATTACTTCTGAAAACGTGGCTTCACTACATTGAATGCTTTTGTATTACAGTTTCGGAACACTCAATTTAACAAATTAAATAAGGGCACCAGTATTCCTAACCTCAAAGGCCCTAAACGCATCTTCAGAAGAACCGTAAATTGCTAGCTAGGAAGGAGAATCACATCGTATTTGTAGATGTGTGGCTTTGTCTGGGTTATGCAGTGTAAATCCATTGTGCAGTGTGGATCCATTGAGGGCGTATTACATTACACCTGATAAAGCTATCTGAATCGGCAGTACACCTCGCTACATTAAGGATCAAGTCTGAGCAGCTTAAAGTTGCATATCGGCTGTGTTGTATGCCCCAGCCAGGAGGATGTCGATGTTTACATTGTGTTGGTTACAATGCGGCAGTAATGTGCTAGCACAAAGGAACATATCCAAAACAGTAATATGTTAGTTTCCATAGCATATTTGAGCCAGTGCATTCCTTTCATCAAACATGGATATTTCCTTTTCATATTTGGCATAGCACTCGTATGTAAAAAGGCATTCATCCAAAAAACTCCACACATGACCATTTGTTCTTTTGATTTTCATTTTAAACTGAGTACATCCACACATCTATCTGTAGACATGAAGCCTGTAGTCTGAGGGATTGTGGGGAATACATAGTGAATAAGTGTGCGCGTGCCTTCTGGCTACATATTGTCTCCTGCACGCCTGTTTTGAACCTTAATAAGCCCAGCCTACTCTGCGTTCGCTGGATGTGAGAGTGGAGAGAAAATGCTTTTCTTACACTTCAATTTCACGCATATTTTCTTGGCGACTAATGAGAGCCTTAAATACGGCGCCAGACGTCAGGCACGGCTGTGAAGGCTGACATTTTCACATACAGCGGCACCTTGTCACCACGGATGAAGTCCCTCTACCTGTCTGCTGAAGGGTGTGTGTGTGTGTGTGGTTGTTGGTCTATAACTGTGTGTAGGAGTTTATCTGTGAGGTGGTTTTGGTGACAGGACCTGACGCAAAACATATTCAGCAGCTAAAAGAAGAAAACAAACCATAAGGACAAAAGATGAAGTTGAGAAACAATCCTCCATCCCTCCTTCTCTTCCTCCTCTATTGTGGGTGAATGTCCTGATTCATGGAGAGGCAATAGGCCTAGTATCTGTAACCAACTAACTAACTGTACTGATAGACTGCATGTAATTGTTGTTGCATATAGAACAAGACTTCAAAGCCATGAGCTCATCATTGCTGCATTGTTGTCATCCTCCGTGAGGCCTAAACAACGGTCTCCCCTTTTTTTCTATCTACTGTACACACAAAATGGAAGTCTGGGCTAATTACAGAGCAGGGAATAAAATGGTGAAAATGAGACAGCTAATGCCAGGGTTTATGCAATTATCTGCTACATCCAGTCAACGAGATGGAGGGGGAAGGGCATCTCTCAGTTCACATATTGCTGTGTTTGTAAATGGAGATGCCACACAGCTAGGAGTTACCTGTTGTTCAGTATTCAGTATGTGGTTTCTATTTCCCTTTTCCTATGTAGCCCAACACATTCAAATGGAGAGGATTGCAGAAAGGAAAATGTATGACTGACACACACACACACTTGATGGACATGTTATACTGGTGCCACCACTATAGCGTTTGGGCTGTGTCTGAGGCTCCCATAATAGCTTCTGATATGGCCCAGAGGCTATTCCCGCTCCAGGCAGAGCTTTGTGGAAACACACAGGATGATGGTGTGACAGCTTTCATCTTTTGCAGGGCGCTGCCACTTACTGTAAACTCATCTAGAACTCATCACCGTCATAAACAATTTCAGCTTAATGTGCTCATTAGAAAACGCACAGCACCTACATAATTGTGAGCCATGACACACAGTGTTATTGCAAAAACGGTTTCCTTTTAATGCTGCAGTAGAAAAAAAAGGTTATATGAAGTCACATAATGGGTGCTTCATTGTCAACAACAACAACAACAAAACACGGCACAGAATGCAGAACAGTGTCTGTGCTGTTTACATGCCAATATTTTACACCTAAGATTTCTGTACACTGGCAGCTGTCAGTTACTTCAGCAAATTAACTGCCAAAAATGTAGCAGAACTGTCAATCAGAGGTGAGGTAACCATGGTTACCTTTCATATCCCCAAAAGATAAAGCTGCAGTGCGGAATTGTGGGAGAGTAATTAGACAGAACAAAAAAAAACAAAAAAATCCAAAAGGCATTCTACGATATGAAACAACAACCAAGAGTGCTTATAAATAAGAGGTTACATGTGGAATTCTTCATTACTTCATAAAGTAACATCTTTTGTACAACCTTTATCTTTTAATGTTCAAATACCGGCACATGTACTGTCTTGTACTAGAGGTTTAACCCTTTGAGCACGAGGTGGAAATAAAAGATTTCTGTGTAATTTTGTTCCTCTTATTTTCATATCATTTGATTAAATAACATATTTATAAAACTATTGTGCAAAACAATTTCATTAATGTCTTCATATATTGTGCACCAGTAGATAGTCATACTCCTCTTAAATTAAAAATATAAAAATGATGCATAATTTAGACAGGAATTAGTATATATGTTTTTATATACATTTTTACACAGACCTGAATTCATAAAGTCCCCTGATTAAACAAAGTAAACGACTTCAGATTTAGATTTTGCATCACATACAATGCATGTTTAAAGACTGGATGTTGGACATGGACATATAGTAGTCTCATTGTGCAGCTTACAAACCACACAATAGCTTGGTCGATTCCAATCTAAAATATTTTGTTTTGATAGGGGTTTTGGATCATTTGGGTAGAAGTGCTTGGCCGTACTCAGAGGGTTAAATTTCAGATGCTGACACCAGCACATAACGGTCACATTAACAAAAAGAGAGGGAAAGAGAGAAAAAAAGAAAAGTGCCGCCAGATTTAGTTACCAAATGTTTAACTAAATTGTTTAATTTATGCATGCAGCTTATCGCATCTCAAGGATGCCAAAATATAAAGAAATCAAATCCAATTTACACAACTCTCAAATACATACCACTTCATTTTAAAATATTGTTTAACCTTCATATGTTTTATCAGTGACAATCGCACCTCTTTCTTTAACACTGCACATTTAGAAAATTACCGTATTTTCAAAAAGGAGAGCATAAACAAACAAAAGCTTTTTGGGCCAGAGTGAGTCTACCTTAAAGAAAATCAGAAACCATGTGCCGAAACTAAACAGTAGTTCTATGGCATCTTTGTGCAGTTTCATCACTTAATAGTTTTAGTCCTTTTTTGAAAGAAATGTCTGTGAAAGGCTAAAGACAGACGAAGAGGGAACGTGAGAGAGAGTGCAGCATGTCCACAGCTTAGTGCTACTGTTTCTCTAGCTCACACACATACATAAGGTGGTCCTCTGGGGATTTCCCATGGGTCTTGCTCAGGTGGAGCTTGACCGCGTGCTTGCTTGCAAAAGTCCGGTTGCAGAGCTTGCACTGATACGAGGTGCTGCTACCATCCTCGTCAGGGGAGGGAGACAGGGAGTGGGCGTGGGAGAGGAGGTGAGGGTTGGAGTTGGAGTGGTTGGAGAGCAGTTTTTCGGACAGGCTTTTGGTGTGACGTGAGATCTGGCTGACAAGCTGTTCTCCAGACAGTTTGGCCAGGTCTCTGAGTCTGAAGCCCAGGTGAGACTCCAAGTGGCTGACGTAGGTGGAGGGGGAACGAATCTGAGAAGCACAGTCGCTGCAGAAGAACACTGGGTGGCCTGAGTCCAGGTTTTTTAAGAACTTTGTCCCTCCGGTTCTCCTCAGCTGGTACTTGACGTTGGCCAGCCAGTGGCTGATGGTGGTCATGGAGAGGCCTGTGAAACGGGAGATGTGCATCCTCTCCTGGGGGCTCAGGTCTGACATCACATACTTCCCATCGCCAGTCTGCCGGAGGCTGGCAGCAAACTGGGCCTGTAGGATGAGCAGGTGTTGGGGGTTCCAGTTGGACTGCCGGCCCTTGCGTTTCTGGGCTGGAGAGATCTCCTCTAGCTCCTCTTGAGTGGAACCCTCAATGTCAGACCTTTCCGACAGGCTGGTGGGCGTGGAGGACTTGGAGGCTTGACTCTCTGTGAGGTTTCTCAGCATGTCTGATATGTCAGACAGGGCATTCTCACGCAGCGGGGAGTTGGACATGAATGATGCCACAGCAGACGAGGCCTTGGCCATGGTGGTTGTGGAGGAGGGGGAGACAGAGGAGGGTGTTGACGTGGATGACGACAGGGCAGCTGAACCCAGAGAGCTACTCTTTTCATTCTTGCCTTTGGTCAGGTCTATTGGCTGGTCGTTATTGACGTGGTAGAAGTAGCGGTCCAAGTGCTCATTGTTTTTTTTGGTCTGAGCTGGGGTGGAAGCGGCGACAGCGGCCTTCTCTGCCAGGCTGTTACTCATCTTGAAGAGCATGCTCATGGGGTCCAGGGATGGCAGAGCAGGCTTGGCTGCCTTACCCAGGTGGACGTTCATCACGGACTGAAGCGCACTTAGAGGATTGACGAAGGGCTGCTCTGGCGGGTGGTCTGTAATAATGGCTGTGCTGCCACACAAGGCGGAGATGGGGGATTTGACAGCAGACTCCATCCCATTCTCCAGCGACTCCTTCATATTGGTGTCACCATTACAGTCTTTGTGGCTGCCTCCTCCGATGCTCTCAGGGGTTTTAGACCCTCTCCTCTCTTTGGGGGACTCCCCTCTGGCTGACTCCCCTGCCTCGCTGCTGCAGGGGGAGGGCGTGGTTCGTCTCATTGGGGACACCCTTACACTCGGCTCCCGCATTTTCTCCTCCACCTTGGCTACTTTCTCAGTCACCTTCTTCACCAGCTCCTCCATGGCGTGGAAGTTGTTTTTGGGGAGAGGAGAGGTCTGACGGCTGGGCGGGGAGATCAGAGGTTGGTTTTTGGCGTTTTGGGACAGGAGCTCTCCTCCAGGGAACATGTACTTCAGGGCTGAGCTCTTCCCTGAGTTGGCCAGTGAGAGCTTCATGATATTGGGCAGCTGGTATGCAGCATGGATGCTGGGGTAGCCCCCCCAGCTGGGAGCACCGTTCTGTGCTTTGTTGATGGCTGATGTCACTGTGTTCTCCAAGGACTTGAGGATGTCAAACCCTCCCTTAGGGCTCTCCTCCAGATCCTCCTCTGTTAAGTAAGAGTATTTGGAGGAGATATCGAATTTCTCCTCTGTCTCGTCATCTCCAGTCTTCTTGTCTTTGCTGCTGTTAGTGGTTTCCTTCATACATTCCACTTCCTTCTCCTCCTTCTTAATCTCCACAGCCATGGCAGGGGAAATACTAGAGGGAGGAGGTATGGGTGGAGGAGGTGGGGAGAATGCTGTGGCTGCCAGTGGCACAGACTGGAATTTCTCCTCACCAGCAGAGATGGTGGGGACAGGCGTTGGGGGAGACTCCATGATGGGCTTGCCTTTCTTAATGGCAGAGTTTGTGACCTTGATGAAGTGACCGGTCACCATCATGTGCGCTGTTAGCTCCTGAAGTGTATCGTGGGAGCTGCCACATTCCATGCATTTCAAGATCTGGGACTTCCTGGACTCGAACTGCCATGCATAGCTGGCTCCATTCTGGTGGCCGTAACGGTTGTTTGGGGTGATGTAGGGGTTGGAAGCCTTCTGGAGGGGGTCATTAGGGTCATTTAGGGAGGGTTTGGGGGTGCCCCCGTTGGAGTCTGGGGAGCTGGGGAGGTCGAGCTCGATGGGGGCTCTCTTCCGGGTGGAGGAGATGATCTTGGCTGCCACAGGAGTCACTGGCTCCTTCAGAGGCACTTTCTGGTAGTGTTTTGTCTTAATCATGTGGACACTGAGGTCCTGCAGAGACTCAAAAGAATGTCCACAGTACATACACTTCAGGACCTTCTGAGCATCTTCTTTCCCTTCCATCTCCAGGAGGGATCGTTTGCGTGGCTTGGACCAGCGCTTGGTGCCCTCACTGTCTGTCTCATGGTTGTCATCGCGGTAATGGCCTGTCTCATTCATGTGTACAGTCAGTCCCACCAGCGTGTCGTAGGCAGCACTGCAGTCCTTGCAGTGGAACTTACTGGCACCTGTGAAGATGGAGCCGTATAGCTTTGTGCTCTGACGGTAGAGCTGTACGGTGCTGAATAGGTTGTTTTGCTCCGCTGCTGGATGGATGAGCCGGTTCTGGTTCTGAGAGACCTGCTGGAGGGTCTTGGCCACAGCGGACTGGTGCCAGTCGTAACCATTGCCATTGCTGCCACAACTGCTGCTACTGCTACTACTGCTGCTGCTGTGGCTGCGTGGAGGTTTCTCCACCACTGGTGGCTGGGTGAGGTTGAGGTTCAGAGACGACCAGTAGGAGTTGGTCAGGAAGCTGGTGTAGATGGCCTTCATCTGCTCCAGGCTGTCTGGCCCGGTGGTGGCGCCGTCCTCCGTGGCTGTAGCTGTGCTGGTGGCCATCATGACAGAGGGAGATGGCGACAAGGACGTAAGGGGTACCTTTGCGACCTCCTCCTCATTTTTGAGAGAGGCACTCTCAAAGTCTGACATGCGGTCACTGGATTCACTCAGGTGAGACTCATTGTCCAACTCATGGCCGGAGAAGTCGGCCACGGGGGAGTCGTGGAAACCTGGCCGGTCATTGAAAAGGAAGTCCTTGTCTTGGCACATGTACTTGACCGCAGGCTCCTCCTCACCGGCAGAGTCCTCCCCCTCCAGGTCCTCATCGAGCAGGGCAGCCTCCTTCTCATCCTCAGGGGCATACGCTGAGGAAACAGAGAGAGAAACAGAGAGAGGATTGTTATTACCACAGCACACCATGGCTAATGATGAAGATATCCAATTTGTTATTCTTGCAATGCCTTGCAAATCAGACAGCTGATAGAAATACAAAGCACTAGAATGTTCTTCCCATATCAGAAAAACAAAGCAATCACAGACGAGACTACTTCATATCATAAACTGTTGCTGTAATTCCATTTCAACTTCCCAATTGCATTTACATTGTTTTCCAAATGAAATAAAGTTCCACCCTCTCTCTCTCCCTCCCACCTCCTTTGTTCTTTACTGCAAAGAATGAGAAAGACAGACAGAGAAGAGGGAGAGCAAATGTCTCTTCAAACACAACTTGCCACCTTATTCTTCTCAAGGGGCAACAGCTTGAAATTAAAACTACATTTGAAATTAATGAAGCACATACTGGAGGTGGCATTCATATCTGAAGTAATAAATTACTTGTATCAACCTCCGAGACAGCAGTTCCTGTCTGTCAATTAATATGTCTTATGCTTCTTCTTCAGCCTCTAATGCATTTCTTAACAGACACACTCACCATTAAAATTAAGCATGCATTTTCACTCATTACACGGCACAGGCTCGCCTACTTGTAAATAAAAATGAATGTATGTACGTTTCCCACTACAAATCTCTCAGAACAAAACACATTTACTTCAATTACAAAAGATGAGAAAGTTTAGTTATTATTTACAGTTTAGCCTGGAGAGTATTCTTTAAATTTATATTCAAATCCCTTCTGTTTAAAACAATAAAATGTGGATTGCAGTGAGATGGAAACATACAAATAAAAAAGCACTTTCTATCTTTGTGCAGACACATTTATTATTTTGTGATGGAGGCTGTCTGTAAATAGTGGACTGGGATAATTCTGTACATTCCTGACCGTTTCTGATTCCTAGCTGTTCATCACTCATTGTCCAGGTATGTAAACTAAGGGCAATAATGACACTGACCATACTGTGTCGGTGCACACATTCTATCATCATTAACAACTGCTAAAGATCACTTGAATATGAACGATCTCGACATTCAGAACATTATCTATAAGAAATCTATATATCCGCTTTAATATGGGACACTATAATCCTATTGCAAAAAACGAGCAGTCATTTATATATACAGTATATATATATATATATATATATATATATATATATATATATGTCTTTTTTTCTTCACAAATGACTTCCTACGTTGCAAAGACAACCTATGTTTTATACTGTCCTTTCTATATTAATTCCAATAAAAAGTCAAGTTAAAAAAGTTAAAAGAATGGAAAGTATTTACTAAAACTTATGAGCTTTGTGGGAAAGCCACAGCCTCTTCAAAAGGTACAGTTATATCTGGTGAGATTGGGTAGCTAGCTCCAGAACCTGCCAGCCATGTCACACAACACGCTCCAGCAGTGTTACTGCAGACTTCTATCTCGGAGCGGTAGTGGAAGGTGTGAGCACTGCATCAGCCCAGACACAGGGAAAATCTCTGTCATTGTCAAGGGGCTCATTTTGTTGCCTTTGGCAGTGTGATGCCGTGGGATAAACAGATGCACTGAAACACGCAGCAGCTCCAAGTCGTTGCGCTGCAGTAAAAACGCTGTGCCTCCAGGCGGTCTCTGCGGCCTTTCAACTGAACAAGCAGGCTGCTTAATGTTCAATCTCACACATCAACATGCAGCAATTTGGAATCGGTTACCTCGTGTGTACTAGTATATAGGATGTATACAACATAATACATTGTTAAACAACACCTGAACAAGAAGGACATGTATTCTTACAGCCAATTATTTTGGTAGCATTTCTACTTAAAATGTTACAACATTTCTGAAGAATGTATACGACTTGTCACATAAGTCTTAGGGATTTCACTATTATTGTGTCCAGAGTAGACAATAGAAACTTTTACATTTAGATGCATCATCATCTATAATGGACATCTGCCATTTTGTGAACAGATGCTCAGAAAAGCACAATTGGAACACTGAGCAGCAAAAGACGGGATATCTTAACATGTAATCCAATACCACACACAACTCAACAGGCAACCCTGATCATGCAATGCACACACACACACACACACACACACACACACACACACACACACACACGTACATGCAGACTGCCATCTGTTCTGAATCAGTCAAAACGACAGCTGTTTAAGAGAACAATGCCTTTGCTCAGGAAGCAGTCAGAACAGCACTGACATCGAGGCCAAACACCCATGTGAAATCTCCTTCCTCAAAATACAACCCAGACTTAAAGCTGTTCAATGTAATTAAAACACAGGGAGAAAGGAAGGCATGGGGAGGGTCATTTTAACACCAAAGCCAATATATCTGCAGTGAAACCTTTGCTACCGCACTAAATATAAATGTATACTTCACCTAAAACATAATTACAACACTGATTTAAATGTCATTAAAATGTGCAACTGCAAATTCAGCGAGAGGCAAAAACAATATGCATCTCTCTCTGTGCCAATGCCAAGTCATTTTTCTACTGAACCTCCTACCTCCCTCTCTCAAGTGTGAACAAACCAGACGAAACACTAACCTTGACCTGAACTTGACAGGACAAAAACCAACATTGTGTGTGTGTGTGTGTGTGTGTGTGTGTGTGTGTGTGTGTGTGTGTGACAATGACAATGAAAGAGATACTGAAAGCGAAAGGGAGGCGATTGTGTGAATGATTCCTTTATTTGTATTTGTCTATGTGTGTCTTGCATTAAAGTCATATGGAGATGGAATGTAATGCAACACATACAGTACACAACTATGACTTGAACCTCAGCTTTTAGCCTAAGGCATAGAGAGTAGAGAGAGAGAAAGACAGGAATAGATGTGGAGGTAGGAGGGAAGACAGGCAGAGAGGAAGGAGGGAGGTCTTGGAAAGACCTCAAACCTGAGGCCACACAGGGAGCATCTCACAGGCGTCTGGACCGGCGCCAGGCCACAGGGCCCCTAAAGTGACCGTGGATGTGTGTTCCAATATTGAGTTTTCAGCCCTGGTGCAGGCAGGGCCAAACACTCCGCCACGCAGGTGCTCTTTTAATTAGGAAACGGGATGGGTGGAAAAGAAGGGAGAGCGAGTGAAAATAACCTCTGAATTAATTGGCAGCAGCGACGAAGAGAGTTTGATCTCATTTTCAGTGGGATATTAAGAGAGAAGACCCATTGAGAATGGCTCTTTGTAATGGGGGAGAGATGTGTGCTTTTGGGATTGGGACCTCGGAACACAGAGAGATTAGTTTACTTATCAAAATAACTAATATATCTGTATCAAAGGATTCCATATCCAAACAATCCAGCGCTGAACCCCCAATGTACTGCCATTATTTGTCATGTCCATGTAATATCGTGTTAGTTCAAAATGTCAATTAGTGTACTGTATATAATTTGGGGATATTTAGGGGGAAAATTTAACCTGAGGAATTATCAATTAATTGTTTGCAGTTATCCCTCTTCTTGCCTACCATTTGATACATTTACTCAGTTGCTGTTATATCTCAGTAGCAAATTATTCTGAAAAAGTTATTTCCATAAAAGGTCAATTCTGGTTGACTATATTGTATACAAGTCAATACAAACATTAAGGGTTCATTTTAGTCCAGAATTATGCTGTTAGGATCCAGTTAATCATCATTACATAATCACTTCACAGGCAAATCATCCACACAGGCACTCTATTACAGTATGTTTACAGAACTGTTTATGAGTAAAACTGTGGAATGTATGACACACTGTGTGTGTGTGTGTGTGTGTGTGTGTGTGTGTGTGTGTGTGTGTGTGTGTGTGTGTGTGTGTGGTGTGTGTGTGTGTGTGTGTGTGTGTGTGTGTGTGTGTGTGTGTGTGTGTGTGTGTGTGTGTGTGTGTGTGTGTGTGTGTGTGTGTGTGTGTGTGTGTGTGTAGTCACATGCCTTTATCAGTTTCACAGTTTTGGTTTGAGGGACAGTTTCAGACAGACCACGAGATGAATTTTATCAGATGACACTTTGTTAGCCGTCTCTTTCCGAGGGCTGTGTCATGGGAGCATTTATTAATGAAAAAAGCAGGAGTGAATTATCATGGCAGCCAATCAAATATCCCCCAAGTTCATTTACTTTGCCTGGTTAGAATGGAGAAGAGGAGCGAAAACCTACAGGTTCCATGAATACCTTTAGGTGTCGAGGTGAAGATGGAAAGGGAAAGAAGTCCTAGTTGGTTGGTAATGAAAGATGCTAAATATAGCACCAAACCCCACGTTCATAATGGGAGGTAGCTACATCCAATACAGCAGTAGGCCTTTCTGCTAAATTATATCATTAGAAGGAGAATGGTTAGTAGCCTTAAGCTGACACTGCCAGTGTGGTAGTGGAGAATATGAGATAACACCAGACCCTGTCTCTGTCCCTCCCCTCTCCTCCCCTCAGATGAGATCCTATACCTCCCCTTCTCCTCCCCCTCACCACTCGCCGCTACCATGACCCGCGTTAATGTAGTTAATTGAATCTGAGATCAATAATGCTTAATTATTGCGATTTGACATGCACAGACAAATTGGTTGGGAGGCTGTGTGGGTTCTAATCTAGTGTGTATTCTAGTGTGTGTGTGTGTGTGTGTGGCATGGAGGTGGCTAAGGGGCCATTGCTGGCCGGAGCGAGGGATGGAAGTGAGGGAGAATGGAGGCGAGGGATCGCCGAGGCGTGCCATCGATCGTAGAGAGACGCCCCATCGACCCAGACGCCTGACGAATGGAGCCAGCTCTCCAAGGCTACAAGTAAACACTGCCTTCGAAAGGAAAGGCTACTTTAACCAGCCTCCCTACCCCGCCCAGCCATCTCTGTACAGCCCAAGACCACCAGGACATATTGAGATGGATTAAAATAGCAATGCAGCAGAGAGAGAGAGAGAGAGAGAGAGAGAGAGAGAGAGAGAGAGAGAGAGAGAGAGAGAGAGAGAGAGAGAGAGAGAGAGAGAGAGAGAGAGAGAGAGAGAGAGAGAGAGAGAGAGAGAGAGAGAGAGAGAGAGAGAGAGAGAATGCTAAATAATCTGTGACATGAGGATACATATCAAAAGCACCTGAAAATGACCTAGGTACTACGTACTGTATTTGCATATACATTGTACTGGTGGGCTGCCCAGTGCCTGGCCATGTGATGATGAGGCGAGGGGAGCGTATATCTGAGTGAGGGTGGATTAGGGGAGATAGAACAGGTTAGGTAACGGGGAGACTGGCGGGAGCGCGGCGGAGGGAGCACGGTGGAACTGTAAGATTATGCATGAACACCGGTGCGAGCGCGGCTAATCGGCTGCTCATGCCACTCAGCTGGAGAGCGGCTGACAGCGTATTTACACACCGTGCCTCGCCGTGCCGCCGGCTCCAGGTGCCTGCCTTCATGCCTGGGCCACTGCCGCCGCCATCCCTTCACCAGGGTGTTTCCCCAGCCCATCCCCACGCCTTGACACTCTGCCGAGCGCAGAGTGCTACTGACGCGTTCTCAACTCAACAAATAGGAGACACCCCTTTCCCCAATCACCCCCCCCCCCCCCCTATCTATGCACTCAGAGACAGGAGATGGGATGAGAGGGTGGGGGTGTAGAAATAAAATAAGGCTTCTCCATCTAGAAATTAAAGAAACCTTAAGTTCAGGTTGTTTTCTTAAACAGTACCGTTGCTCAGCGTTCAAAGACAAGTGGAGGAGCATTGTGCAGGGAGATGCTGACTAAGAGGTTCAGTAATAATAGCAGTATTAGTCGAGGCATTCCCCACGAACAAATAAAAACAACGTTACTGACAAAGAGCCTATTATATTTGTTTTGTACTTATTTTGGATTACCTAACCACGATGAGAATCCTGTCTTTATCATTCTTAACACTACTAAAACTACATAAAACCACGGAAATAGTTTGTAGCGAATCCTAGACTATCAGACACATTGAGCAGTGACATGGAGAGCCATGTTTCTCAAAATTACACACACGCTCAAAATGACCCCATTCCGACAGGTCCTCCGACACACACAGCTCTGAACGGACCTCCCTCTGAGAGACAATCTCACTGTGAAGTTTACAAAGGCAGAGACAAGGTCAACATTTCCCCAGTTGGCCTGAATGACTGCGAGATACCTGCTTTCTGTGTGAATTCTGTTGTATGAAATCCTGGCAAACAGTAGAGGAGGCACGAATCATTAGAACAAGCGTTTTTCTCTGTCGTTGTCCGTCCAATCACAACTACCACCAAGATGAATAACCTCAATAGGCCTATGGATAGACAGAGTTAGTTGGGTAGTTGATCACAGAAATACAACAAATATGATCGTTTCTTTCTGTCTCACACACACTCCCTCAGCCGCAACTAGAATAGACTTATTTCAAAATGCTTAGCCAATATCTGACAGAGACTGTGTCTGGCACACTCATAGCACAGACATAGTGATTCACAGAGAATGTGATTATATATTAAACATTGATAATAAAAAAAATGCCTGTTCATATCCATACAAACTGCCTGTTACTCTATCTAGCCAGGGGGTTATGATAATTGACTCCCTAAACATCCATTACTATGCCGCTCTCTGATGCTCCCTACATGAGACGGC